GTATGCCGACTTCTTACGCATTTTCTTCCCAGAGCAGGCCCACATCTGGGTGTCTCGCCTTCTATTCTTTTTAAACCAATTCTCGTGTTGATGCCCGCTTTTATGGATGCATCGCATTTCCTCTTTCGGAAAATTGCGGTTTCGTTGTCAATGTCTGACTCGCAAAAACTGTCGTCGCTGCTTTACATTCTGAGCTTAATGTAGCATCGGAATAAGACCTACAATAAGATTAATTAATTTCAATCAGTACTCGTTGCATTTATTGGGATAAAAGTGAGGGGACGATTACTCCTGTTTTTGTAAGTGCTTCTGTGCAGACCAACCGCAATAAACAACTAAATATTCGAAACATATACGGCATGGTAAGATAACGTTAACAGATACGCTTACTAAACAGAGCTATACAAAACGGGCAGAATTCAGTTTCTCAGTTAAAAGGCTTACTGCGGCACTAACCCACACAATTTCCCAGATACCATTTGAATGCATATTAAGGTTTGATATAAGTCTGCATTTCAGCATATTAGCCTTCTTTTTCGCGTTTAAGTAGTAAAGCGGACCATCATGCCCTTCAAATTATACCTTTTAACCGTTTATAAACCATCCTAGGAAAGTAACAGTGTACTTTCTAGGTCAATTAATATCAGGTTACCTAAATCATTGCTAATATTGGCGGACACTAACATTTATGATCGTACGCATTTTCCAATCCAAAAGCATATTTCTAAATGATCCCTTAATTTTGCAGATCAAAAAGGTCAGTCCGTTGACATATGTTTCTGCACGTGCCCTGAACCTCTATTAGCAGTGGTTCGATTCAACATAAACTTAAAAATCTTTTTATTACAAACAATGAAAATAATGAGGTGTACTAAACAGCAGCCCAGTCAAATTTACAGGATGCAGAATCCAGCGGCAAAGTATACCAGTTTGCCGCTTCATCGGGAAATTTTGAATAATTTTACAAAACTTCCGTCATAAAAGATGATCCTGTCAACTCTTCCAGGCCTCTGAGTACCCTTGTTACAACTGTATTACTGAGAGAGCAGGTGCAGGATGTCCGTTTCCATGTCCTACAAATAAATCAGAGGAATACTAAAATTCTCATGCTTCTGTCCACAATTATAAAAGGAGAGTAAACAATGATATATTCAGTGTAACGAAAAAACAACATATGAGTAAGATTATGTGCTCCTGCGCATTTACAAGTTGGAATTCCGTTAAGAAGTAGTGATTACCTGTGGAGCAGATTCCGGTCGGTAGCGTTTGTAGGGATTGCCTTTACGATCAATTAGGAACTTAGCAAAGTTCCATGAGATGTCACTTTTGAACCAGAACACAAAAAAGTTATGAGAGCCGTCTTTGCAAAAGTCACTGTCACAAGTGAGAATCCTAACTGTATAGTCACATATATGAGGTAAGCATTAACTACTGAATTTATCATGAAATAATAATTTAATTTAAGGTATATTTTGATTTCCCTGTTACGTACGGCTTCTCGCTGTCCACCAAAGACTTCTTGAGGTAGGTAAACAGCGGATGGGCATCGCTACCGTTGACGTTGCATTTACTAAACACGTCAAACGTGACATGGTACTTTTCGCGCATGTTCTTTTTGATGACATCCTCGGTTTCGGGTTCCTTTGACATTGTAACATCTTAATACACATCTTACCTGCGCTCCAAACTGATTGCAAGGGAAAGCCAAAATCGCGAGACCTCGGCTAGAATATTTGGTATACAAGTCTTGCAATTGTTTGTAATTTGAATCAGTCAATTGTCAGTAAGTTGCCCCATTGACTACGAGACAAACTTTGCCTCTTTGAGAGTAAATAAATAGAACAATCTAACCTGTAAGAGTTTAAATCATGCACGCCTCCATCAATATCCTTGCAACTGATAGAATAAAACGCGTCGTTCGCCATGGGGAGACCTAAACCGTTGAAAGCAAATCTCTCAACATAAAGGTTCGAATAGGATGGGCACAAAATCAATTAAAGCGTATAGCTTATACAAAATTTTTACAAAGTGTCAATAGGTTCTTTGTGTGATATGAACAAGAACTGTGACCGCTCACATTGACTTCAAACTTTTATTCAGGTACTGTTTGGCTATACAACTGCAAGCGATTGGAAGACCATTTGCTTAATCGTCTTTCAAATCGCGAAATTAATACTTCTGCAAGAATTACAATTTCCTCCAGTTTTCTATAGGCTCTTATTGGAGTTTTTCCGCGACAGCCTATGTTTTCTCCTGTTTCAAACCAAGAGAAATAACTAATTTCAAACACCTACCATTTAAGTTTCTACCTACTGAAATGCTTATATCGTGTGTCAGAGGATTTAACAGTCTAGTCAGATAAAATACCCAAATAATTTATTTACACCATTCCTCGCCATTTCCGCAATGTACACTTTTATTAATTATGGGACAACTTACAGTTCTGTCTCTTTTGATTACGTCTCTAATAGC